ACAGGTCTAAATACTGCAAAAGAAAGATAAAATATTTTGGAGAAAACATACATAACTTTGGCAGAAGACTAGATACTGCTTCTAGAAGACTAAATACTGCTTTCTGAAGACTAGATACTGCCGACAGGTCTAAATACAGCATCTGGAACACTAAATACTGCTTTCTGAAGACTAGATACTGCCGACAGGTCTAAATACAGAGTCTGGAATACTAAATACTGCCTTCTAAAGACTAAAATTGCTTTGTGGAGACTAAATACTGCTTTTTGAAGACTAAATACTGCTAACAGGTCTAAATACTGAAAAAAAAAAGATAAAATATTTTGGAGAAAACATACATAACTTTGGCAGAAGACTAGATACTGCTTCTAAAAGATTAAATACTGCTTTCTGAAGACTAGATACTTCCGACAGGTCTAAATAGAGCGTTTGGAACACTAAATACTGCCTTCTAAAGACTAAAATTGCTTTGTGGAGACTAAATATTGCTTTCTGAAGACTAGCTACTGCTGACAGGTCTAAATACTGCAATAGAAAGATAAGATATTGTTGGAGAAAACATACATAACGTTGGCAGAAGACTAAATACTGCTTCTAAAAGACTAAATATTGCTTTCTGAAGACTAGATACTGCCGACAGGTCTAAATATAGAATCTGGAACACTAAATACTGCTTTCTAAAGACTAAAATTGCTTTGTGGAGACTAAATACTGCTTTCTGAAGATTAGATACTGCTAACAGGTCTAACTACTACAATAGAAAGATAAGATATTGTTGGAGAAAACACACATAACGTTGGCAGAAGACTAAATACTGTTTCTAGAAGACTAAATACTGCTTTCTGAAGACTAGATACTTCCGACAGGTCTAAATACAGCGTCTGGAACACTAAATTCTTCCTTCTAAAGACTAAAATTGCTTTGTGGAGACTAAATACTGTTTTCTGAAGACTAGATACTGCTGACAGGTCTAACTACTCCAATAGAAAGATAAGATATTGTTGGAGAAAACATACATAACTTTGGCAGAAGACTAGATACTACTTCTAGAAGACTAAATACTGCTTTCTGAAGACTAGATACTGCCAACAGGTCTAAATACAGCGTCTGGAACACTAAATACTGCTTTCTGAAGACTAAATACCGCAAAAGAAAGATAAAATATTTTGGAGAAAACATACATAACTTTGGCAGAAGACTAGATACTGCTTCTAAAAGACTAAATACTGCTTTCTGAAGACTAGAATTGCTTTGTGGAGACTAAATACAGCTTTTTGAAGACTAGATACTGCTAACAGGTCTAAATAGTGCAAAAGAAAGATAAAATATTTTGGAGAAAACATACATAAGATTGGCAGAAGACTAGATACTGCTTCTAGAAGACTAAATACTGCTTTCTAAAGACTAAAATTGCTTTCTGAAGACTAGCTACTGCTGACAGGTCTAACTACTCCAATAGAAAGATAAGATATTGTTGGAGAAAACAATAAAAAGACGGCGCCCTGGTGCAAATTGTTCAAGTTATATGTAAATTATATGATCCATAATATATACCTCGTCTTACATGTATATATAAACAAATAAAAAAAAATCTTGCTCCAGATTAGAAGAAGTCTTATTAGAATAATAAAATTAAATAAACAAATATTAGACGAAATTAATAATCCAATAATCTCCCTAAAATCAATTGGACATCAATGATACTGATCCTATGAAGATTCTGATTTTAAAAAATTAGAATTTGATTCTTATATAATTCCAATTGATGAAATAAAACTAGATAGATTTTGATTATCTTTTAATATAAATGAATAGAATTAAAATAATTTATATTGGTTAAATTAAGTTAATGGGATAATTCAAAATTTAAGAAATTGTCAAGATATTCGTTTTATAGAAAATTTAATATGTTTTTAACTTTTTTGCTATTTCTAATATGGCATTATGTGGATTACCGTTTTTGTCAGGATTTTATTCTAAGGATTATCCACTCTTGAACTATCCCAGCCTTAAGACCTGGTCGATTAAATCAAATTAGATTTTTAATAAATCGAACAGTATTATTTTTTGGGCAATGTTGCAAAAATGCACCAAATTTCTTTATTATTATTATTATTACAGAATCAGTTCTTTCAACTTCACAGAATAAAAGAAAATGGCAGTATTTTGCTTAGAATATTCCAATTTTAGAAAATTTTAGAGAAGTTTTAATGAAACAAATAATAAAATTGAAGTAATAATTTTGAAGTAAAAAAAGACGTGACAAGCCTAACGTATTCACTGATGTGTATTTTAATCACATATATTATTCTGTGTAGAATTAATAAGTTGGTAAAATTCGCGAATTATGTCAAAAAAAAAAAATCTTACCTTATTTGAGCAAACTAATCAAAATAAAAAATTGGGTTATTTCCTCCAACGACAACGTCGCCGTTCGCATTTCCGGTTACACCTCGTCGCAAGCCATAGGAGGCGGCCCCGACGGGCAGTTCGAATTCAACCCATCCCCGCCGCTTCCATCCTCATCATGCGCCACCGCATTATTACTCGACTTTTGTTTCGACAATTCCTCCTCCAACTTTCTAATCCTCGTTTCATGCTTTACAATCATCGCTTTTAACTTCCTAATTTCATCGGCAAACTCTTGTAGCGTCTTATCAGAAACTTGGGCGCCCCCAGAATCACCTCTTTGACTTTTCCCTTTTTGCATCCGATCCAATAAGTTACTCCTTTTCGTTACGTTTATCGTTGATTTTGATTCGGGGGGTTTGTACCCGTCTTTTAGTGATATTAAAATCGGTTCGGCGTCTTTCCCCTCCATCCATTCATCGGCTGTTTGAGCTGGTGTGTCGCCTAAAGTGTCGGGGTATAAATCTTCTTGGAATAGCTCCGATTTTCTTGGGACTGTCATTGTTATTACTTGGCATAATCCGGAATTGTTTAGTCGGAAAAATCGGGAAATTTCGCATGAAGTTACGTCGCAACCTCGTTTAGGCATCATTCCGATTCCTCTTTGGGGATCTGGGGTTTGAAACGTGTTGATGTAATGGACGAAGGGTGGTTCTGGGGTTATTTCGAAATATCGGATGACCGAATCGCCTTTTCCGCATAAATAAACCAAATTTGTGTCTGGATCGTATAAAGGAAACATAACCCCGTTTGATGTGTCGAGTTCGACCATCACGATTGGTTCTGATAACGCATCGGGGGTTCTTAAACTATATTGGCGTTCCGACATTTTCGAAAAACCGGTTGTAAAAACCAATCCGTGGCGTAAAAAGATCGCGCGGGTTGCTTTAGATCCTTCGTGACAGATGGCGTCACTTTCGACTTCCCCGGTGCGCGGATTTATTATCCGAATTTTTTTATCTTTACATGTCGTTAAAAGTTTCGATCCGTCCCAATTAAAGCACGCGCTATAAACGATATCGGGGTGGCAGTCGATTTGTACCAAAGCCTCTCCCGTTCCAACGTTCCAAACGACGATTTGATTGTCACTTCCGGCGGTTAATAAAACGTTGAGGGCGGTGGGGTGCCACAAAACTAACCCCACGCGTCTTTGGTGGTAAACCAAGTCGACGACCGGTTCTGTGAGGGTTTTTATGAGGCCGTGATCGGGGATGTGCCATACTTTGACCACGCAGTCTTCGGAACCACTCGCTATGACGTTATCGTTGTGGGGGCACCACGCTATGTCGAGAACGGGGCCTTTGTGGCCACCCACTAAGGGGTGATCAGCTGGGATTCTACCAACCTAAAAATTAATACGAATTAATCATTTTATAAATAAACTAAAATAAATGTATTTGGATTTTTGGATTAATCGGATTAACGAGAGCGCAAAAATTTAATTTAATACGAAAACTTGAGCGTGGTAATTTCCGAGATCAAGCTACCGTTAAATGTAGCAATTTAATACATCAAATTAACTATATATGCTCCAACAGAGTGTGACATACAGTTCGTTTTTTTATCTATTTTTTTTAGATGTCTTGAAAGATGTGCGGCTAAATCCGAATGTTTCTAGTTCTAGGTCTAATGTTAGTTCTAGTATTGCACTAGCACTATCACTAGAACTAACACAAGACCTAGAACTAGAATCATTCGGGTTTAGCCGTCTTGAAAGACGTGCGGCTAAATCCGAATGTTTCTAGTTCTCGGTCTAATGTTAGTTCTAGTGACAGTGGTAGGTAGTGCTAGTTAACATAAGATATCACCATGTTGCATATTTTTATTGCACTAAAACTAGACCTAGAACTAGAAATATGAACATAGAACTTTCTAAGGAATCAAATTATCATAATAGATTATTCCTTGAAATGTTTCATATTAAGGCTGAAAATAATATTGTAAATTTCAAGTTAGATACAAAAAATTTGAGTAACATTTATTCATATCTTTTTTAAATAGATAAAAATAAAAATAAATGAATTTTATTTGTGACGTAATATGATTGACGAGTACTGATTTGTTTATTTTAATATAGTTGTCACTTTTCACGTTTTATTTTTCATAAACCTTTTACATCTCCAAATTTGTAAGTAATTAACTTTTATTGTAAGATTGTTATTTTTAGTTGCTTTTGTATTTTAGTTATACTCTGATGAAGATCGAAAAAAACGATCGAAATATTAGTATGAAATAAAATTGTTTCTTTTTATAAAAAAGATCGTCTCACGAATAATTATTTAATATTATTATCAATTACGATCGATTAATTTCTTTTATTTATTGTTATAATGATATTATTATAATCTTAATAGGCAAGAAATATGCTTTAATTTGATACCAAATACGACCTATTTAGGTTGAAGAATGAAAAAGTTGTTAGAAACTGTCAAAATCAAATTAATTGATAAATATTGAAATAATATTAACAAGAATCAAGAATGCATTAATTTAATACCAAACATGACCTATTAAGGTTAAAAACCGAAAAAGTTAGGTTAGAATCTATCAAATGTCAAAATCGAATTTAATGATTTTTGATAGATATTGTTATAATCTTAATAAGCAAGAAATATGCTTTAATTTGATACCAAATATGACCTATTTAGGTTGAAGAATGAAAAAGTTGTTAGAAACTGTCAAATTTCAAAATCAAATTAATTGATAAATATTAAAATAATATTAACAAGAATCAAGAATGCATTAATTTAATACCAAACATGACCTATTAAGGTTAAAAACCGAAAAAGTTAGGTTAGAATCTGTCAAATGTCAAAATCGAATTTAATTATTTTTTGATAAAAGTTGAAATGATCGTAATAAGAATCAAAAAGCTTTTAATTTAATACTAAACATGACCTATTTAGGTTAAAAAATGAAAAAGTTAGGTTAGAATCTGTCAAAATGAATGTCAAAATCGAATTTATTTATTTTATGATAAATATTAAAATAACGGTAATAAGAATCAAAAAGCATTTGATTTGATACCAGACATGACCTATTTAGGTTAAAAATGAAAAAATTAGGTTAGAATCTGTCAAATGTCAAAAACGAATTTAATTATCTTATGATAAATATTAAAATAACGGTAATAAGAATCAAAAATGTCGTAAATATGTCGAGTTTGGAATCCAATTAATACCAATTTAATTTTAATCTACTTTACCAACTCAATTATGTCATCTACATTACCGACTTGAAGTTGACATTTTCACCCTTCTTTATAGATATTCAACCGATCTTAGTTTGTGTTCGTGATACCCAGATGAACTTTCCTTATTCAAATAATCAAAAGAAGGAATAAAAATAGTTCTGAATTACATAGATGGGTAAACGACGATAATAAACGTTCGACTAACATTAAAATAAAAAATACAACATAACCTCACTTAATACAATTTGAAGAAAAAAAATTTTGTGTGTGTATGGGTCAAAAAATGAAAGAAGATAAAAACTGACAAATGTCAAAATCGAATTTAATTATTTTTTGATAGATATTGTTATAATCTTAATAGGCAAGAAATATGCTTTAATTTGATACCAAATACGACCTATTTAGGTTGAAGAATGAAAAACTTGTTAGAAACTGTCAAATTTCAAAATCAAATTAATTGATAAATATTGAAATAATATTAACAAGAATCAAGAATGCTTTAAGTTAATACCAAACAAGACCGATTAAGGTTAAAAACTGAAAAAGTTAAGTTAGAAACTGTCAAATGTCAAAATCGAATTTAATTATTTTTTGATAAATGTTGAAATAATCCTAATAAGGATCAAAAAGCTTTTAATTTAATACTAAACATGACCTATTTAGGATAAAAAATGAAAAAGTTAGGTTAGAATCTGTCAAATGTCAAAATCGAATTTAATCATTTTATGATAAATATTAAAATAACGGTAATAAGAATCAAAAAGCATTTAATTTGATACCAGACTTGACCTATTTAGGTTAAAAAATGAAAGTTAAGTTAGAATCTGTCAACTGTCAAAATCGAATTTAGGTAATTATTTTTTGATAAAAGTTGAAATGACCGTAATAAGAATCAAAAAGCTTTTAATTTAATACCAAACATGACCTATTTAGGTTAAAAAATGAAAGTTAAGTTAGAATCTGTCAACTGTCAAAATCGAATTTAGGTAATTATTTTTTGATAAAAGTTGAAATGACCGTAATAAGAATCAAAAAGCTTTTAATTTAATACCAAACATGACCTATTTAGGTTAAAAAATAAAATGTTAGGTTAAGAATTCAACCCGCCATTTTGTTTTTCTTGACGTAATTTCAATATTTTCGTAAATATGTCGAGTTTGGATTCATTTTAAAGCATTTTTAAATTCCTTTATAACGCAATCGGTTAGAAACGATTATAAAATATTAAAAAATTTATAACAAATTTTTTTTAATAAAAAAATATTTTTTTTTTATTTTTTCTATTAAATTCTTAATCTTCATTAAAATCCCTTTAATTCGATACCGAACACCACTAATTTCCGATAAAAATCAAAAAGGTTAGGTTAGAAATCAACAAAAAATCCGCCATTTTGTTTCATTTTGACGTAATTTTTATATTATCGTAAATAGGTCGAGTTTGGACTCATTTTAAAGGATTTTAAATTTCCTTTACGATGCTATAGGTTAGAAATGAAAATTTGTTAGGTTAAGAATCAACAAAGCTGTGAAACGTCAAAATATGACATTAACTGTCAAAAATATTAATTTTTAGTTTTCAGACGCACGGCTAAACCCGATGCTTTGTAATTCTAGGTTTAGTGTTAGTTCAAATTTTACACTAGCACTATCACTAGAACTAACTCAAGACCTAGAACTAGAATCATTCGGGTTTAGCCGTCTTGAGAGACGTGTGGCTAAACCTGAATGTTTCTAGTTCTAATGACAGTTCTAGTGACAGTGGTAGGTAGCGCTAGTTAGTATAAGATATTTTTATGCAACAGTGATATTTATTTTTCTTGCATTAAAACTAGAACTAGAAAGTTTCGGCTTTAGCCATACTGAGAGACGTACGGCTAAATTTAAAAACACTTTCGAATTAAAAAATAGAGTATAAATTAATACCAATTTAATTTTGCGATATAAACCAAATCTACTTTATCGACTCAATTATGTCATCTACATTACCGACTCCAAATTGACATTTTCACCCTNAGTGCGGATTGCGACGTTTTTTATACAGATTCTTTCTTGTATACACTTGTATAGTAGAAAGTACCGACAGCTCTAAATGCGCCAAATAGATAACTACAGTTTAAAATTACCGGTACTTTAAAGTACTGTCGGGACACAAAGGGTTAATGCCTTGCGACCTGTAAATAAATAAATAATTACATAAATTTTATTATAAATTAATATTAACGATTTTTCGCTGCTTAACCGTTCCTAAATTTGACAATGTTTGACATATAACCTCCATTACTAACCTAACATACATTTAAATGTATGTGGTGAAATAATCTAAGTCGTACGTCCATATCTTGATTCATACCATTTTTAAACGTCAAATCACTGCCAGCTCTCGTGGTTTCTACTATACGTCAGTTTCACTCTTAATTTTCATAATCTGAATTCATCTCTTCTTTTATATACGCTTTTTTATGTAAGTTAATTCTTTTGCAATAACCTAAAAACATGTGTTTTCTAAAAATTTTATCCTGTAATTTTTAATTTGATTTTTGAATTATATATTAGGTGGCTATTGTTCCTGAAGATGACTAAAAAATAGTCGAAACCGGTTGAGCCGAAAATAAAAAAATTCCACCCTTCTGAAAAGCTAAGTTTTTTATTCACATAAATATTCTAACAAGATGGGAAGTAATAATATTAATAAAATAAATGTATTTGGATTTTTGGATTAATCGGATTAACGAGAGCGCAAAAATTTAATTTAATACGAAAACTTGAGCGTGGTAATTTCCGAGATCAAGCTACCGTTAAATGTAGCAATTTAATACATCAAATTAACTATATATGCTCCAACAGAGTGTGACATACGTCTTGAAAAATGTGCTAAATCCGAATGTTTCTTGTTTTAACTGTTATAAAGCGCTAGATTGTTGTATATTTGTATTGAATTAACACTACATAAGAAATTTGTCCCTGTCATTCGTTATTACCAACCTAAGAAACAAAAATTGACGAATTACCAAAATTTTGCATTTCTAACATTATCATAGATAATAAGTTACGACCTAAAGATGATGGAGTGAAATAGTTTAGATAAAAAATAATCATAATCAACTCAAAAACCATAATCCATAAGAGATTTGTCTCCATCATTGTTTATTACC